GCTGCCCTGCAGTCTGTCCTAGGTGGCTCACCTGTCGCCTTGCACGGCCAGTCACGTGACAGCGAGCGTGTTTGCATGGCAGTGCCGCTCACTCTCTTGTGACTTCCACAGGCTCCGCTGGGCGCAGAGGCAGTGCAGCTCCGTGGGCAGGGATCTGGACCAGGAGACTTTGGTCTGTCTCGTTAGCCTCCTTGGCAGCAGCTGCCCTGCAGTCTGTCCTAGGTGGCTCACCTGTCGCCTTGCACGGCCAGTCACGTGACAGCGAGCGTGTTTGCATGGCAGTGCCGCTCACTCTCTTGTGACTTCCACAGGCTCCGCTGGGCGCAGAGGCAGTGCAGCTCCGTGGGCAGGGATCTGGACCAGGAGACTTTGGTCTGTCTCGTTAGCCTCCTTGGCAGCAAGGGGGCCCTGGTGACTCGTCCAGCCTCTCCCCCGCTGGCAGCCCCGAGTCCTTTCTGCGGAACCGCTGCTTAGCCCGTCGGTCCCCAGCCTGTCAGTGCCTGGGATTCCTCCGTCCCACGGGCAGGGCTCTGCCTTGTCCTTGTTGACCCATCAGAATCCTCTTGGCCCAACCCTCCAGGTCACTCTGGACCCGGTCCCTGCCCCCCAGCGGCTCTACCTCTCCCGCAGCTTCGTGTTGTCTGTGGACTTGCTCAGGGTGCGACCCATCCCCTCCCACAGGGCACTAATAAAACAATGGAGAAAACTGGCCCTAGAACTGATCGTTGGGGCACTTGGCGGGGACCGGCTGCCAGCCAGATACCGAGCTGTGGATCACTCCCCATTGGGCCTGATCTACCCACCCTCCGGCCCGTTCATCCAGGCCCGACTTCCCTAACTTGCTGGCAAGAGCCCTGAGGGAGCATCGTCACCAGCTTCGCTAACACCGAGGTCTAGCTGGTCCCTGTGTATCCGTCCCTCAAGGGCTGGAGCCAAGTCTGGCTGCTGGCAGCTGTTGCGCAGACAGGGGCAGGGGTGACGGCCTTTCTCCCTGCTGCAGCAGTGGGACTGTTTTGTGCCCTTCCTCCCCAGAGCGGGACCCCGCTGAGCACGCCGGGCAGAGCGAGTGCCGGCCACAGCATGAAGGCTCCGCTCCATCTGCTGCTGCTGGCTGAAGTGTGTCTGGCGTCCCTTGTCCCAGGTGAGCGGAGCTGGAGACTCGTGCCCGCGCGGGCAGGGGGTTTGCTGAGCCCAGAACGTGCACCAGCCACTCCCAACGGCGCTGGGTCCAGGGCTCACACCAGCCCCTGGCTGCAGGGCGGAGCTCTGACCTGGGTCTTTCAGCAGGTGGCAGGGCCTGCGCCCGTTTGCCAAGGGAGACGGGTGGGCCCCTGCAGTCTGCCCGTGCAGCCTTGCAGGGGAGGGAAGGCCAGTCAGGCCTGTAGGGAGGGGCCAGGCTCCGCTCGGCAGCTGCCACGTGGGGGCAGGCAGCGTGGTTGTGTCCATCCGTGGTACCCGCCCTCCGCTCAACTGGCCGGCCTGCGTTTAACTGGTCAGACTCGCCCGTTAGCCAGCGCCCGAACTGGTGCACCCAGCCTCCCGCCAGGAATGCTGCCTCCCCTTAATGGAGACCCCGGGGGCAGGGCAGGGCCACCCCGTTGGACAGGGGGAAGTGAGGCACGGGGAGACGAAGGGGCTGCCACAGCCCATCTGCAGCAGTGAGACTGGGCACCCGGGGTTGCCTCAGGCCCACGCTCCCTGTGGCCGTGTGATGTCCCCGTGCAGCCTCCGACACCTGCCCTCGGCTTCTCGGAGCCCAAATGGGAACATCCCCTGAGCCGGCACGGGCCCCCTGGGGCTACGCAGGACACACCCCACAGCAAGGCAGGCAGATTCTTGTCCCAGAAGGGAAGGGGGGGGGGCCTCCTCGAGCGGCTCGGGGCCCTAAGCAGCGGCTTGGTCGGCCTCCAATAGCCGCCCCGCTCTGTCGTGCCCGGCACGAGGGCCAGCCTGCGGGCTCGGGGCCTTGCTGAGTCACCCTGCGCAGCGCGCACGGCGTCCGTACGGGGAAGGGCCCCATCATAGAACTCCACTGTCGACTCCCAAAAGTCTTCGCCTCCTCCTGACGCTTTTCAGGGGTTTGCCAATGAAGCCAGGCCGAGACCCCTGGTGCCATCGGCGGCGAGTCTTCTGTTTTCGAAGCTGCCAGCAGCCAGTTGGCTTTGTGCAGCCTCTTGCGTTCAGGATCGAACAGGGACTTGACTGTTTCTAGCCCTGCCTGGAAAATCGGAGGCAATTCCCGGCCACAAGCCAGAGTGGTGGGGTGAAGGGTGCAGGCTGCCAGCCGGGCACACGAAATGGATGCGATGCCCGTGTGCCAAGTAGGGATGGGGTGGGTCGAGAGTGGGTCATTCCCAGGTTTGTCGGGTGGGGAGCCCCGGCCCTGCCAGCCAAGCCTTTACCCTGTGGCCTGGCCTGGCCTGGCCTGGACGGCTCCTGGTTTCCTCTTGTTTATGGCACATGCAGAGCTGGTGGCACAAAGTCCTCCCAGGCCTGGCGTGGAGACCAACGGGCAGGCAAAAGGTGCTTCATTTCCCTGTCCCCTCCTGCCCGGGACCTCTGCATTCCAGCCCCCCCACCGGCCTGTCTGGCCCAGGGCCCTGGGAGTAAGGCGACGGCCCTTGCGTGGCCTGGCTCAGGGCCGCCCGGGGGCTCTCCCCGCGCT